ACGAGCTTGGCGAAGACGAAAAACGAGAAAAAACTCCAAGAAATACGATAAAAACAAGCTTTTCCCCAGTTCCTTTTATAAGACCGGGAAAGAGAGCTTTGACACTTATTGTTTGATATGGGAAACTTCGTTGATCGGCTGTGAATATATTAAAAATTTGGAGCGTGCTACGTTGGTCTAAGATTTCAGATTTCACATATTCGATCGTCATTTTGGCGCATTCCTGCGCCGATGTTCAAGAAGTTTTTAAACCAAAATCCGAATTAATACAGGACTTTGACAACCTCTAGATCTCTCGCCTGCAATCACGATGTTATGAATCAGCGGATACGTGCTTATGCAAATTTCCCGTCTGTTTTGCTAACCGTTTTGGACTTGTAGTTTTGGGAGAGCAGATGATGATCACTTCAGCTACGTTACTCTCCAGCAGTTATTTAGACCTAGTATACTTGGGCTTGAACGAACAAAGAATGTTCTGGTTATCAGTGTGTACGCGATCCTATTGTTGAGTTATGAATATTGTGAACGTGATTTTTTTCATGTTTTTGTTATGGGGCGGACATGGCATTTACTATATTGTATGAGCTAGTTCTTTGSACTAAACTCCTTTAATTGCTTGAAAAACRAAATTATCAAAGACTCCAAAATATTCCCAACTTTGAATTCACCCGGCGTCACAATTCATTCATTTCTTCAATGTGGAATAGGTCTAGTGGACATCATGATCACTTTACAATCCAAGTAATATATTCACACAATATTCTCATTACTAAGATGTTTTAATTGCTTTGATGTTAACCAGGATTAACATTCAATTTTCTTCAGGTTATTCTGTTATTTAAATGTTAAGTTTAAAGGACATACTATTTAGCCCTTCCATTTAACACAACAGAGTCCCAACGGATGATTGCATTCCATGAAATACCCGTATCCATCAGGACAACCAACTCTAAAAAACCAATAGTCTCCACTGTGGCGATTGCAACTACATGGTATTGCTCTTTCCTCTAGCTTTCCATCTGGTGATGAAGAATCTGGGATAGAAAACAATTAATGAGACGATTTTTCTAGCAAGCACGCAAACGCGTACAAAGTATTAAAGAGGAATAAAAAAAGAGTATAGTGGAAAGGAAATAGAGCAAAATAAAGAAAACAAAGAAGAAAGGAAATAGAAAAAAGCCACGAAAGGAATAGAAAATAAATATATTTTTAAAAATGTTCGGGTTAGGGTTAATGTAAAAGTTGATAGAAAGTTATAATTTACAACAATGTCAGCAATGAATCATCTTTTGTGTCTTTTTGCCTAAATCAAAATATTAAACATGTAAATCGAAAACGCATCTCTTGTTTTTCAATTTTTTTTCGTTTGCGCTTCGTCACCAAGTGAGTTTCGGTCGATATAAAGAGGCCGCTTCGGCCAGTGATTCGTTTGTTATTTGCCAATCAGTTTTCATCATTTCAATCAGTAAAAGGCGGGTCTTTTCGGTCGATTTCTGGGGGCTTAAGCTGCTTATTCCTTTATTTGTCACATGGGCTTAAAGAAACGTCAAAAATGGAAGGTTTCTTTATATTTTACCCAGACTTTTAAAGTTAAAATGTAGTAGAGAACATTCTTGTGAGCTGTCAATCAAAAAATCGGCCATATCTCTACAGGTTATACAGAGCATAGGTTTTGGGAGTGAATCAGCCAATC